AGCCATTTATAATTAAGTTGGTATTTTTCACTAGTTCTCCAACCTACTTGGTACTCTGTACTTATTAAAGTAGCAGTTGGTTTTGTGCAGCGTCTATGCTCTATCAATTAAATACTGTTTTGATAGAGTCAAGTGAAGTTAATGAGGCATGTCTTCTTGTATAAGTATAAGGTTTCAAAAATGGATTAGATTGTTTAAAAAAGTGCCATTTTACAGTGCACAAAGAATGTGGCTTAGAGCAAAATTGAAAAGACGTGGGTGCAGAAACGAAGCTGTGACTCCAAAACGCTTGGGAAATTCTGGACTAGGATATTTGAAATTCATGTACTAGCATAGTAGGAGAGCTGGTCATCTGAAAGCTTTTTCCAAAACGCTTGGAAAATTCTGGACTAGGATATTTTAAATTCATGTACTAGCATAGTAGGAGAGCTGGTCATCCGAAAGCTTTTTCGTTAACCCTCTTGTGACGTAACCCCTTGATCTCTCGCTGTCTAGCAGTGAATATGACACTGATGAAAACAATCAGGAAAGTAATGACAATCAAAATGATTATGTTTACGATAATGTGAATCCTTGGATTAGGATTAGGGGTTCTGAATTGGATAGAGATAACCCCTATGAATTTTTAGAAAAAAATAGAGCCTTTCAATATGCCTCATGGGATAAGCACCCCATTTGAGTACTTTTGCTAATTTTTACACAATATATCATTAAAATGTTTGCGAGAGAGAATAATAATAATAACTAATAAGTATGCAGACAACTTTCTCAATAACAGCCAGCTCAAATAAACCATAATTGGATGCACAATGGTGAAAAGGACCGCTCTGCCTTAAGCAACCGAAATGTACACCGAAGACAGGAAAAGGAGTAGAACTCTGTGCCAGGGGTGTCTAAAGGGCTTCCATGGGCCTTATTTCCCAAAACACATGTGTTAGGATCCATTCATGCTTCATCCATAAAAAATTCACATAATTTACACCGGTAAGTCATGTTTATTCTCAGTCAAAATCGATGAGTCTGTTTACATGCAGAAAAAAATCATGTCGGGCGAGTTTTGCCACAACAATGGGTCTTTGGAGGCATTTTTCAGGAGATTAGTGAGTGTTTCATGTTTTGTGAACAAGATAGATCAGCAGCTACACATTACTCTTATGCCGATAATCAAAGCACACATCCTGCTGGGAACAACAGCCATGTCAGATCAATGGAGAGCATATATAATTTATTATGCAATTGGCACCACTTCGGGATTGACTCATCAAACGGTCATTCATTCTGTTAAGTTTTTGGATCCAAACTCAGGTGCCAATAGCCAATACCCAAAGCATCGAATGTTTGTGGAAATCTGCAAAAGAGAGAAACAAGTGCCACAATGGCACACACAGACATATGCTCGATTTGTATATGTGTATTCAAGTGGACATGTGGCATCAACGTGTTAAAGTAAATGGTTTTTATGTCTTCAACGCCATTCTAGACGATACTGCTCAATTTTGGCCACTACAGCAGCGGAGGACCTTTAAAGAAGTAAGTATGTTTTTATTCAAAGTAACATTTGTTTTATTGGAAGTGTGAAATAATGTATAGCCTAATAATTTTTGAATTAAAAGTTTTTTAAGCCTAGGTTAATTCAGATTGATCAGGTTTAGGATACATTTTAGGGTTCATGTTAGGTTTAGGGATACATTTAGGATTCAGGTTAGTTTAGGGATACATTTAGGACATCGTGGGTCACGATTACCAAGATGGCGGCCGCGGGCTGATCTCTCGGAATTGTTTTTTATTCAAAAGAACATTTGTTTAATGGGAACTGTGAATAATAATAATTTTTGCGGTGAATTAAAATTGAAGTATCCACTTCTGATACCGGGTCCGAATAGCTGCAGCCAAACTTTTCATTACAATTACAGATAAGAGTTAATAAGACAGCCGATTTGCCGCCAAAAAAAAAAAAAAGAGCAACTTTAATCTTGATGGATGTCATGTTAATGATTATAGAACTATATTTAAAATAGAATTTAAAAATACAATAAAATTATAAACGTATTCTTACTTGCTTTACGTTACATTGTTCTTCGTGTTTCTATAACGCTAGTTGTAAGTCTTCACAAAATAGCACATTTCTCGATTGACATTGGCTCTCAGATCGCAAACCAACGGGAAGTATTCGTCATAACCGTCACGTGACCAACCGAATATTATAAAGCCCTCACGTGACCAGCCGGGTCTGAGCAATTGGCCGGGTACCTATAGCCACTCCGTTTCATTAATTTGTTATTTTTTGTACAAGGTGGGGATGTCATTAATTATTTTTATTTTTTTGGACAGGGTATTGGTAATATTAATTTATATTTTTTTAACTTGAAAGTGTTCTCATTAATTTATATGTTGTGTACTAGAAAGGGTTCCCACTAATTTAAATGTGTTGTACAATGTAGGGGTGTCATAAATTTATATTTTTTGTACTGTAGTAGAAAGTGTTCCAATTAATTTATATCTTTTATACCTTACTAGAAAGTGGTCCCATTAATCTATGTTGTTGTTTTGTTTTTTCATATGTAATAAAGACCTGAGAACTACAGCAAAACCTCGTATTATGTCACACTAATAACTAGTGTGTCATGTGATAAAAGAGGCAGAAGAAAAACAAATCTAAGCCTGGAGGGGGGGGGGGCGTCCATTAATTGCGTCAACAATTTTTACGCAATTTTCAACCCCCTCCTCCATCCTTTGTCAACACCTGTCAAACTTTCAATGACCCCTCTCCAGTAAATATGTCAAAATTGTATCCCCCCCAACCCCTTTAAAAAAAAATAATTGTTTACAGATTTTGCCAATCCGTTCAAGCAGCGATGTTTTTATTGTTACTCACTTTCCTTTTTCTATAATTCTGAAAATATCGTATTCCTACTCTTATCAATATCATTTATCTTTAATGCACTTTACACTTCTTTTATATTTTGAGGGCCCACAATCAATGTATTGATCGTTCTGACCTCCCTGAACCTTGTCCTTGTTCCATACCTGCAACATGATCGCAAACAAGAGAGGCCAACTTATGAGTCTCGTGCACTGAGAAAGTGTGCCAACATTCTTACCAGCCATCTGCAGTGCACAGACACTTATTAAATAAACTTTACATTGTTAAAAACCTACAAAATTATATGACTATTTACATTCTTAAATATTTTGAAATAATGTAATAACCGGTCAATTTTTTAAGATTAACATTTTAACAGTGAAAACATTATTGTTGTTGTCAATTAATGTAACCACACCAACCTCTTTATTACTTAATATCTATATAACATTTCCAACCCCCCCCCCCCACTAACTATTTTGTTGATATAATAAATGGTACCCCCTTGTGAAATATATGGGAAATATGCTAATCGTGTGTTTAAGATATAGATCGACTAGTAAATTTTATTTTGAGATTAATCGCTTCGACTAATAAATTATGTTTAAGATATGCATCGAGTAATAATGTGTGGTTAAGATATGTAACGCCTACAAAAAAGTCTTTATTAACATGTGCCAAAGTGTGGAAGATTGCCTGCTGTATCACAAAAGAAATTATTTCTTTATTCAATTTTGATTCGTTAATTCTTGGCAAAAAAAAAAAAAAACGCACTTTAAAAAAATGTATAAAGCAATTTTATGTGACGCAAAATATTTATAAATCACTTTTATGTGACGGTAGCCCTATTTAGGTGAACCAAAACCTCCCCTGGACCGCTAATATATTTTTAAAATAAATATTCTAAATATTAAATCATAATTTAAAAATTATCAAATAGTATTAACATTTGGAAACCACTTAAACAGGCTAGACAACAACAGTGACCCAACCTGCCGGCATTGCTCGCTGGCCCCGGAGACGCTAACGCACCCGTTGACTGAGTGCCCAGCACTGGATGAAGCGGCCGTGGGCAGGGCGACGGGAGAGGCCTACGTTTTAAGACGGTGTCATATGGCGCTGTTAGCAATCGTGCAAGGTTTAAGAGCGTTTGCTCAAGCCTCAACCAGGATATGTATGTTACATAGTAACTACTAAATTTTAAAGACTTAATACCAGCGCTGGCTTAAGAAAAACCAAAACAACCACCAGCATTTCTAGTGTTGGTTTTCTTGTTGAGTGTCAAATGATGCAAAACTAAATTCACGTAGATGCCACCAGAGCATCCCTGCAAACCCGTCTCCTGATCTGCACGGCACACTTCGGCAAGGGGCATCGATCTCCGCCCCTCTTTTTTATTTCGATTTAAATCTGCACAATGCATTTATGTTTCTAACAGTAGGGGCACACACAAATATTGTTACAAACATAATGATCTGAACACACAAAAATTGGTACAAACATAATGACCTGACCACACAAACATTGGTACATACATAATGACCTGACCACAAAAACATTGGTACAAACATTATGATCTGACCACACAAACATTGGTACACACATAATGATCTGAACACACAAATATTGGTACACACATTATGACCTGACCACACAAACATTGGTACATACATAATGACCTGACCACAAAAACATTGGTACAAACATTATGATCTGACCACACAAACATTGGTACACACATAATGACCTGACCACAAAAACATTGGTACACATAATGATCTGAACACACAAATATTGGTACACACATTATGATCTGACCACACAAATATTGGTACACACATTATGATCTGACCACACAAACATTGGTACACACATAATGACAAGACCACACAAATATTGGTACACACATAATGACCTGACCACACAAATATTGGTACAGAAATTATGATCTGACCACACAAACGTTGATACTGACCCACCAACATTGATACAAACATAATGACCTGACCAAGCATTGGTACAAATACAATGACCTGACCACACAAACATTGGTACAAACACAACTGTGCCACTCATGTGTACGGATGCAATAAGATTGACTCTCCACGCTAATTCCTAATGAACCAAAAAAAAACGGTTTATTTTCAATGCCTTTTATTCAACAACCTTCCCTTGACAAAGTCTTGTGTTATCTCTGTAGATGGAAAACCTTGGCTGTTGTGTCATCAGAAGCTGTGACTAATATAGATTCATCCCTGCGGAAAATTAAAAATAAAAACAGTTTAAAATTATAGATGTACAAATATTACTCTCAATCCTTTTATATGTATTTTTTATTATTTTATTTTACATAAACATTCTAATGTCCCACCCGCTTTCACAGAGCAGATTTATTTCAGATAAAACAAAACAAAAACTATTATGCTCTAAACGCACACGTAATCATTTGACTAATCTCATTTAGCAAAGTTAGTGCGAATTTTATTTAGTGAAATCAGTGGCATCATATTTCCTTCATCTTCCCTTTGACAAACAGGGAAAATCTAATTTCTGAGAGTTGGGTGTGGGGCTGAAATTTTGAAAGAATGTGTTTTCGTTTATCAACAATTCTATGAGAGAAGTTTCCAGCCAGAGACCCAGACAGAAAGAAAGAAACACACAGCAAAAGGGGTCTCAACATAAAGCATGTGAGATATGAAATCCAAAGAAAAAAACATTGATTGGGTGTATCAAACCAGGGACTTGAATTAGTTCTGACTTTAATGAAGTGTAACCTCTAATGAATTCTGAAAACATAATATACCTAATTACGTACACCTCTTAAAGAAATCATTAAATAATACCGTAAATAAAACAATTACTGTTTTTTTTCATTATTTAAAAAAAATATTTAAGGGAAATAAACATTGAAAAAAACTGACCCGGCTAAATCAAAATCTAAAACAGCAGCTCTGTGACCTTGCCATGTTCTGACCACTTGACCGCTGCGAGAGTCAAACTGACGTAAATTTCCATCCAGACAGGATGTGTAAAAAGTGGGAGAGGACTTTGACCACTGCACTTTTACTATTCCATACTACAAGAAAGAAAAAATAATTTTAAAAAATAATTCAGTTTCCTGTATCTGGTTACAAACTATTTTCTTGACATATCAATACATTTGTATAATCTGTTCTTTAGTCTATGCATGAAAGATACTGTTTTTAATTGATAAAGTAGTATCACTCTATACTTGTAATATGCATGTCATGTTAACATGCTGTTGAAATAGGTTTTTTTTCAAACACAAATACCTACTGGTTGTTCACAAACAAATACCTACTGGGTGTTCACACACAAATACCTACCGGGTGTTCACAGGTATGCCTGACAGATTTGGTCGGGAGGTCCCAGATCTCCAGGCCTCCACCCAGCGTGCCAGTGACAGCGTAATCATTTCTGCAAGAGGCCAACATGATTTACTGAATGGTTCAATTTAATTTCTTAAAAGTCAAGTTTCCTGAAAGGCTTTTTTTTATATATCAGAGTAGGAAATGATAGGAAAATAAACAACTTTAAAAAAAAAAAATAAGCCACTAAAACATATGTATCCTCTGTTATTTTGGAAGCTTTCTATCTGCTAAAATAGAACAGTCTTTCTTTCAGTCTGAACCACAACATTAGTTAGTTATCTCTCCTTGTTAACATTATGTAAGAAAGGACATGGCGAAAAACAACAACAAAATTAAAGGTAGATCTAATACACCAGAATCGGCTCCCTTCGCTTTTAGTATTATTATCGTCGGTCACAGCGGCCAATTAAAATATGCGTTAAATATCTACACCTTTATCTAACAAAAATACATCCACAGGAACACCAGTAGCCACGGACAGCGACAACTGGACCTACACACAGTTAAATCATTAACAAGACATTTACCCATGCATTAACATACACATCGCACGTAGCATTACGCTCACATCCCCAAACCATAATCTACTCAGAGCCTCAAAACACCATTTTGAAAGGAGGTCCCAGCCGTAAAAAAACCACCAAAAAACACCCCAGCAGTAGAGCTGCATGTAAGAGAAACCCACCCCAGTGGTAGCACTTACATGTAAGAGAAACCCACCCCAGTGGTAGCACTTAAGTGTAAGAGAAACCCACCCCAGTGGTAGCACTTACGTGTAAGAGAAACCCACCCCAATGGTAGCACTTACGTGTAAGAGAAACCCACCCCAGTGGTAGCACTTACGTGTAAGAGAAACCCACCCCAGTGGTAGCACTTACGTGTAAGAGAAACCCACCCCAGTGGTAGCACTTACATGTAAGAGAAACCCACCCCAGTGGTAGCACTTACGTGTAAGAGAAACCCACCCCAGTGGTAGCACTTACGTGTAAGAGAAACCCACCCCAGTGGTAGCACTTACGTGTAAGAGAAACCCACCCCAGTGGTAGCACTTACGTGTAAGAGAAACCCATCCCATTGGTAAGCACTTACGTGTAAGAGAAACCCACGGCCTCCACTGAGTCGTCCTCTTCACCTGACTCCTTGCACTTTAGCGTGGACAAAACCTGTGGTCAGAGAGTTGGACATTTACTGGACACTGCCCGGTTGAAAAAAAAAAAATCATGATGTTCTGTCTGCTATTTTTCTATCACAAGGGTGGCGAAATTTTTTTTTAAAGTTTCATAACCATGGATGCTGACAATTTTACTTTTTTTTTTAAACAGCACATGCCACTGGCAGACATCTTAATTTAAAGAAAAACACTTTCACTGTGGGGGAAATGCTTTCTTTGAATTATCAAACACGCTTGGATGTGAAGACAGATGAACCAAAGATGCATGAAGTGGATCTATTGTTCTTACCTTTCTTGACTCATACATCATGTGGATGTTTTATCCAGAAATTAGAAGGAAAACAATTTTTTCAAAACCAAGTTGTACAAAGGAAAGTTGTTGGGACGGAAGTAGTCAGTATGTATGTTGTCAGAAAAAGGAAGTTGTCAGAATGGAAGTTGTCAGTAAGGAAGTTGTCAGGATGGAAGTTGTCAGTAAGGAAGTTGTCAGGATGGAAGTTGTTCAAACAGAAATAACGAGGGGAAAAAACAACAAAAATAAATCTTATGAAATATTTATATTTTCCCTCTTACCCCTACAAAAAAACAGTTTAAAAAAAATGTGAGTGGATCACATTTCATTTTGAGCGCTTCATTGCAAAAATTAGCTATCGACAAATTGGTTTCATACTAAGCTCCAGTGACCAATGGATCTAAAGGTCTTACCTTTCCTGTTGCCGTGTTGATGACCTTAGCTGTCATGTCTCCAGACCCAGACAGAGCCAAATTGCCAGCGCTGTTGTGGTCAATACAATAGACAGAGGCCTTGTGGCCCTCATAACCTGATTTAGGGTAGAATTACTGTCAGTTATATTATACAAATAGCAACATAGCAGTGGTATTATATAACAGAGTAATTATAATGCATAACTTTAACTAAGGGTATAGTCACTATTTGTGATTTAATATCATCGACATTTCCAAAATTTTTCACCTCATATAATAGAGTTGGCTTGTGGATTTATGAAAAAATGACTTTAGTTTTCCTGTAGAGGATAATAACATCTGTCTACGATCTGTGTGTGTGTGTCTCAAGTGGACACTATAGCTGTGTTTGCCAGGTCTTGTTGCCCTAAACATTATTTACCTGATATTGTGTGTAGGAGCTCTTCAGTCTTGAGGTCCCAGATTTTAATGACACCATCTTCATAACCAACACAAGCCGTCTTTCCTGGACAAACATTTAAGTCATATTTTTTTTAAAAATATTATTATAATTAAGTCTAAAATAAAATTTTTAATGTCATTGTCAAAATCAATTAATCACTTATCAGATCTGGTTTGTGAGTTATTGAAAGGCCTCACCATCCGGCAGAACCCTCCCACAGTTGGCACCAGGTCCGAATCCTGCAAATGTTTTACAGTCACCAGAGGGCACTTTCCACATCCACACTTGACCTTCCTTGGTGCCGGCCAGTAAGACAGGGGCGGCGTGGTGCCACTGGATCCACTGATGAATGAATTTTGGGTTTGTAATACACAGTATTAAATATACATGATTACAGTATCAATGTCAATAAGAATGCATAGAAAGTAAATTGCTCTAAAAATAGATCCAGTGTATATGGGTTAGTAGGCTTGTCTAATGGTACTGTAAGCCTTAATTTTTATTTATTTTTTAAAACTTTTTTAACATTTGTGTAAATGGTAAGTTAGTTTATGCATACACTGTACTGTAAAGCAAAATAAAATGTGTGATTTACTTATAACAAAAAAATGGGGGGGGGGGGCAGCTTTGGTAGAAGGTTACAGATCAAGCAGAGAGAGGATAATGTAAGAGAAGGTAGGGAGTAACTGGCAAGAGGCAAGTGGAGTTTTGGGGAGTGAGAGGAAATGAAGTGGAGGTGAAGGATGTTGGGCCAGGGGATGGGGTTGTGGAGGAAATAAGAGATGGGTAGAGTGAAAAATGACTCCACTGGTGACAACTGGTTATAACATTGTGAATAAAATATGAGAGCGGTGAATCTGTTCAGATTTTTACACTCTGAAAGTTATTCCTGTCAAACAGCTTAAATAAACCAGATTGATAAGGGTATGGAACTTGTTAAGACTAAATTTGACACTACAGCTCAAAGCTTAGCGATTAAAAGACCCCCCCCCCCCCCCAAAAAAAAAAATTGACTTCGCCTCTCCAGACTTGCCCCCAGAGTCTGAAAGCTTACCACGTGTGTATTTAGGAAGGAAAAAAAAAACCACAACAACACATTCAACCCTAAATATAACTACTGTCAAATCACCTCTACTTCTGTCACATCAAACGACCAAATTTCTTTCCCTGAATCAACTTTCCAGACTTTGATCAGGCCTTTCATGTCGGCGGTGGCCACCATTGTGCCATCATGGCTGAACCCGACACTTGACACTGTGTCAGTGTGACCTGTCATGACAAAATGTCAATTAATTCATAACTGTGCCAAGACAGCCTAGGTAAATTTAAATAAGCAGCGTAAAAATTACATGAGAACAATTTTATGTTTTCCCATCTATATATATATATATATATATATATATATATATATATATATATATATATATATATATATATGTGTATTTTTTTTCTTTTTTTATTTTTTTATATATATATATATATATATATATATATATATATATATATATATATATATATATATATATATATTCATTGGTGCATTCATTTTCTTGTCCAGTGATAGCGAACTCATGAAAATGACTTTTGCATAAGTGCTATAATACTATACCGAAAAGGATAAATTAATATTTTTTAAAAATTAATTAAACTTATGCAGATCCAGCTCATTTACATTGTTTTGATATTATTTGTCTTTGCCAGCTAATACCTGTACACTGGAAATAAATGGATCCTTCTTGTGTGTTCCAGACCAATGCTCTGTCATCCTGACCCCCTGTTACAGCAATGTGAGGATCCGTCGGGCTGATCCTCGCACATATTACTGTAAAATCATAACAAAATTATCATGATCTAATAAAAGCGTAATTATTAAAATTTAAATGATAAAATGAATACCTGTAACTAAAACAGCACCTTATTGACCTAAAATGTAATCCTTGCAACCAACACCAAGCCCCAAATATTTCTCAGAGTTTTCCTATTATTTTTAAAAAACCTGAAGAATCTTTATGTCCAAGAAATGTAAGTTGTGAGTCATCCTGTACTGGCCCAGCTGAAGCTTCTTCTTCTGTGTCCATTTCATCATCATTATCATCTTCTTCTTCATCATCAGGGTCTAAACAAAGGAAAGTGTTTCTATGAGTCAGCATGAGAAAGTGATTTTATAAAATCAAAACATATACCACAAAGCTTGTTCTTTTGACACTAATTCAATTATTATTTTAATATTTGACTTAGGATTATATTACACAACTATAACAACAGTAGGCCTACATAGCCTAATTAATTATTCCTAATTTAAATAGCATTAGGCATTAGCCTAATAAGTGTATTAATGTGTATAAATATATTTTCTAAAAACAGGCTACTCAATCATTGATTGATAGAAAATCCTTCTATTAAGGGTAAAGCAGGGCAATAAGCATCATGGGGTATTACCCTCCACCAAGCACAATGATGTCTGAAACCATCTATAAAATGACCAAGATACTTTAAGGGTATTAAGTAGTGTTTTTTTCTGATTCAAACCAATCACAGGCTCTGTTTTATGCCATTTTTTGACCACTTAACCTTAGGCCTTTTTAGACCAAATTAGGGTATCCATCACACACCAAATACAAAATTGTTTCACTAGTTTACTTGGTAAAAATAAAAGTTAACTAATATTATGCGGCCCTCGAAGGCATTTAGAAAAAAAAAATTACTTTGTTTTTCAGTTTTTTTGTTGAATTTTACAGAATTTCATGTACCGTTATAATTTTATAAACATTTTTTATCAAATTTCTTTCTAATTTTTTTTTTTTTTTTTTTACAGTCCTTTACTTTTTTTTGTTGAATTTTACAGAATTTCATGTACCGTTATAATTTTATAAACATTTTTTATCAAATTTCTTTCTAATTTTTTTTTTTTTTTTTCACAGTCCTTGACTTTTGTAATGCAATGCTAAAGTGCGAATTTACTGATTTCAATATAGAGAAATGTTTATCGACATGTAAAAACTGGACATAAACACATGCAACCTCCCAAAAGCTTTACATTTGTCAATGTGGCCCTCCGCACAAAAATTTTGCCCACCCCTGCTGTAAGGAAATGGAAGACTTCAACGCAGTTATTAGAAATGAGATGTCCCTACGCCAAAAAGCACATTGTTATGGTATTAACACATCTGGTAGAATCCCTTAAAACATTCACCATCCACCCAACAATACGTACATGAGCCCCAACCATTCATATCTCCATGTGATCATGTGTGAGCAATAGCAAAAACTCGGATGAACTACGAGAAAAGGCAGACTACCAAAAAATAAATTTAGTCAGTCCTCTCCAAACAGTGGCCGCAGCAAAAGCCCTAGTCTAAAGACAACAAGGAACGTCTTAAATATGGACATTCTGGAGGCCCAGACTGAGTACAATGTGATAGCTGGTACCACTTAGAATTTATAGCTGGTACCACTAAGAATTGATAGCTGGTACCACTTAGAGTGTGTGGAAATTACAATTACATTAGGTCAATTTGACATTTCGCTCCTGAGTTTCTGATGAGTGACCTCCAATTTTTTAGTTGTGTATTGTTACTAGAGATAACTATGCTATTTTTTTTTTACTTTAATGTGCTGATGAAATGTTTATGATTGATTTTAAATTTCTTAGTGTGGTTAATTATATTTCAAAACGAGGCTATTTGCCGGCATGTCTGTCTGATCATTTATGAAAAATGATTTCTTATTTTTCTGATATCTATTAAATGTTATTTTCAGTGGAACCTGACATTAAGTGTGTAAAGGTGTGTTTGACTGTTTACTATTTAAAAATTTTGAATATTTTAAAAATAATGTTAACTTTTTTAATCATATTTACAATATTCTCACTGCAGTGTGTAAACTGTAGCAGACAAACACATGTTAGGGTTCATATTAGGTTATAATATAACCTATATAATATAAACTTCAGGTTTGAAGATTAAGGCTCGAGTTAGAGGGGAATAAATTTAGGTTTGAACATGAATCATGACATTATGATTATGCTTGAGTGTGGTGGGGGGATGGGGAGGGGCGCGTAAATATAAGTTTATAGATTAGCCTCTCGTTGGGGATACTATATTTTGTGCTGGGGTCATTTAAAGCTCAGGTTAAGTAGAGTTGTAATTTGAAACTTACGTCAAGGTTTTTCAGTAAAAAAAAAAAATTTGACATTAAATTATTCTTGCACATTCTAAATTTTTCCAGTGAGTCAACTTTTAAAAACTGTTTTCTATTCATTATTTAATATTCTTTCATATCATATGGTTTATGCAATGCAAGTTTTAAAAAAACGTCTTTTTAGAAATGTTTTTCCTTTAAATAATATAGATACTTCGGTAAACCAAGGGAGGCTACTACTTTTTGTGTATCGGAAATGGCAATCGGCGCCGAAAAATCCGAGTTTTTAATTTTCCGATGTGTGTGTCTATTTATTATTAAATGAGTGCTTTCGATATATATTTGAGTTCCGTTTCCGGCCTTATAATTAGGTAGACATGTTGGCCTACATTTACATCGATTTTTTAAAAATTTTCAATCGACCTGTATTTTGAGATTCCCCTGTAAATATAAGGCATCTTTCACTATAAAATTCGTATAGAACTTCAACTTTTATGTCTTTAAAAAAAAGTCTTATTCTGTATTATCTATCGATGTGTATGTGTGTCAATTCTCATTGAGTTAGGACATGTCGATCACTTGTTATGCTCACTTGAGTGAACCCCTATATGGTTATGTAGCTCAGCCCAATTTCGATTAGGAAGTGGCCACGCCCCCTTTCAGTGGCGGAAGACGCCGTTACTTAGGAAATATTTAATTATTTCCACTATTTGCATCAAAATATTTGATAACTTATGTTTTAGAATGAATTTAAATGTTATTGAAAGAATAATATTTTAATTTGAGGTTAAAAAACCCGGTAGAGTCCATATTATACATGATCAAAATTCGCTGTGTGCAAAATGTCATGGCAGCCATTCACAGTGACTTGCATAAGGGCTATTATTTACTACTATCTCAGAGATTTCATTCATAAAAGTTTGCCGTGTGCAAAAACTATTCAACTAGGTCAGGGAAAGCTTTAATTAATTAGTCATGTAACAAAGTTGAAAGTTCAATAGTTCCCAAACAGTATTTTCGTAATTAGGGCATGAGTTGCCTTATATAGACTATATAGCAAATATTGGTATAATGAACGTCGTAGATTTGGTAAACAGAAAAGCCATATATTAATACATTATATTAAATTTACTGATAGAAATAATGCATAGTTAGATAAGCTAAAATTTATCTATAATTGTTAACATTATTAAACTTATTTTTTTAATACAGCATTAGTTCTGAAAATAAAATTATCATTAAAACAAGAGTTATATAGCTCGTGACGCGAACAGCGGAATTGGGTCACAGAATGTGGAGATGCGGTCCATGTTAAAAAAGGACAAATTAAGTCGTACTTTAAAAATTCATAACTTTAAAACTACAACAGCTAAAAATATGATTTTGGTGTTATAATTCTTTTAAAAATTAGCTCTATTCAACTATGTCATTGGTTTATTTTTTTTTTTAAGTTTTAATTTTGTTATCAAAGTATCTAAATAATAGTAATAGTAAATTTGAAAATTAGATTTCATCATTTTCCACTTCCTCTCCCTTTCCCCTCTCCATTTTATCAGACGCAAGGATGTTTGACATATTTAAAATTGCAGAGTCACTGTTATTTTAGTCTTCTTACTTAATTTCAGCACCTAAGTCTGCCATGCTTAGTTTAGTCTTCTTGACTATTGACTTGTCTTTGAAAACTTACCATCTCCCTCGTCTCCGTTACCAATATTATCATCTAGTTCAATAACCTGAACGATTTCGTTAGGGTCCAAAGTGAATTCGTCATCTTCTTGATTTTGATCAGCCATATCTTTAAAAAATTTAGCTTATACAAACATTGAAAAGAAAAAGTAACATGTGCCCTTGTTGTGTTGTGTGTAGTGTGTTCGTGTTTGTGTTGAGCACAGCTGAAAAAAAACAGGGTTAACCGGAAGTATGAATGCTAAGCCATAAACTTACTTAAAACATTCGCAAATTTCTAATTTTTATGAAATACTTAAAATTAAAGTCTCCATTAAATAAATTTTAGTTCCACAAAAAAAGAAAGCACACATAGTCTTTCCAAATTATGGAGCCTGCTTGGCTGATGTAGTAAAAATGATATTGTTTTTTATATTTAATGATTTATTAGTGTTCACAAGAAAGTATAACATTAATATCACAATAAAATGTTATGATTTATTTTATTTATTTAAAATAGTTTAATTTTTTATTCGTTTTGTGGTTTTTAGCTACATGGGCATGGGCGAAGAAAAAAAGGATAGCATCTTTTGAATTATATTCATATTACCAAGTATTCAATCTAGAATATATTCATCATTCTTATTTAAAAGAAAACATAGTGATGTACAAGTTCAGTAGCCCCAGCACTGTTCATCGACTACTTTAATGTGATATCCTTAGCCTAACCTAAATATGTTGTCACAGAACTCAATGCCGCACCTAAGCCTATAATTTTCATTTATTTTTTAAAAATTTTGCTACCATTTATATCATTGGCTGCGTAAATGCTCAAAGTTATTTTTGTGTCCTAGGCCTAGGTAAATAATTTTGTTTTAAATATCAACAACAACAAAAACGGCAAGGAATCTTTTGAAGCTCAGAAATAAAAAATGCATTATTATTATTGTAGATTGGAGGAATATACCGACCATCACAGCGTTCAAAACTGCACTCAAAACACATCTGTTTAAACTCTACTATCCTGACTGATTCCCCACTCTGACCGATAAACGATGCTGCTGGGTAGCCGTCAATGGCTTGACATGTAAATAGTTCTGGAATGGGTGGAGTGAATATAGGCCTACATTAGTTTTGTTTTATTTAATTAATGTTTTTTAAATAATAAAAATCTTCTAAAGTTCATGATTATGTTTGTTAAATCGTATGTACAGCATGGTGAGCCCAGCCCTTGGCTGCGGTACCACGCTATATAAAACCACTAACAATTATAACAATTTTCCATTCCCAAGTTTTAAAAGCCACTCGCAAAAGCCTCGGTATTCTGATGGGACAGTGTCATTATGGGCACACATGTTATACTTTAACTTTAGGACCTGAAAATATTTCCAACACTTAGTATTCTTCATGCCTAAAGAAAGTGTTTCCGTTCTACTGCCAGGTAGAACAACGGGGACAAACGTCTTAAATCTCCACCGAAAAGAAATACCGCACCGTTGCTTTTAGAAGGAACGTTTGATCTTCGGCTAAGAGCTCTTTCCACAGTGAGTCAACTGCATTTACTTCATATTTTCGCGCCATTAAAGCTTCATGCCAGTGGCCTTTTTTTTTTTTTTTTTTAAACCTCCCTTGCCGTAATATCCCAAGTTGAACATTACAGGTTTATTGTTCATTTATTGGAATAGGCAACTCGTAACGGCTGTGTGCAGTTCTGCCTCCCTCCTTTTATATTAGTTATTTGGACATATATTTGATTTTTTTTTTTTAAACCTCCCTTGCCGTAATATCCCAAGTTGAACATTACAGGTTTATTGTTCATTTATTGGAATAGGCAACTCGTAACGGCTGTGTGCAGTTCTGCCTCCCTCCTGCACAGTTTCTGCTCTGCCTGTTAATGCACTTGCCAAGACAATTTCTTTTTTTGTTACGTATAGAGTGCATGATTGCGTTGTAAAGGAAGGTTTTACCAGTTCCGCCAATTTCATCAATAATGAAAAGACTTTGGTTAAGTTATGGTTCTGAATGGCTTCCTCGATCTTTGTCAACCTTCTTTACCCTAGGTTGAGCATGTTTTCATGAAATGGATCGTAATGGTTTCAATTTCGAATTGGCTCGACATAATTGGCATCTGGAAGTTTTTGGCCAAAATCTGCCAATGACTTTCCATGTCTTGGAAGGACAAATTCAATCAATTTAAGTGTCAATTAGAGAGGGGTTTTTTCTCCTCCACCAGGAGAGATAGTCTTGTAGTCTTCATTAGGCGAGTATCCCATTATGAGTCATTATCAGTTAATCCCATTACAATGCGAGCTTCTTGGAAAGTTGCAAAGAAGATAGGATTTAATTCACGCACAGTTAGGCCTTCGACAGATTTTATACCTCTTTTCTCTACGCATGGGTCTTACAATATCCGTAAACATACTTTCAATGGCAGTTTCGTGTCCTCTAAGCTAAGGCGAGGTTTCCATTTTTAATTTTTTTTTTTTAATTTTTTTTTTTTTTGACATCCCAAGTTATAGTATTCGGGAATTTCATGGGTCTTCTTGATTTAACTACACATTTGATTTTGGCATAGGCCCATATGAATGCACAGACCTACATGAATATGTAATATGTCTAAGATCTCTTTAATACAGTGGTTCTCAAACTTCCTAATGCTGCGACCTTTAATACAGTTCCCAATGTTGTGGTGACCATCAACCATAAAATTATTTTCGTTGCTGCTTCATATTCAAAAATATATGTGTTTTCACATGGTCTTAGGTGACCCCGGCGTAAGGGTCGTTCGTCCCCCAAAGGGGTCACGACCCACAGTTTAAGAACCGCTGCCTCAATAGTTTCTAAACATTTTGATTATGAAATCTTGAAAAATGTAATTGAAAAAAAAATCTTTTAAATTGACTCACACGCGCAATAATTAGGTGTCAAAATTTCTGGTCTTAGTTCTACCTCAGGGGATCTTAACTTGTGGTCCACAACCCCTTGGTGCCCCGGGGGAAAATGTATCAGAGGGTCTGTGATCTTGAATTTGATTTACAACTTTGTTTTTCAAAATTATCTAAAATAGATTTGAAGGAGGGGTGTACACTCTTCATTTGACCATCAAAAACACCCGCGACAAAATATGTAAGAACCCCTCATCTGCCTTGTTTACCTTCCGACCAGGGATCCTACTCTTAAAGGGTGACGTTTTTAACCTGGAACAAAAATGTTTCGGTCACGCCTGGTAAAGATCCATTTAATCGCGAAATCAACACCTGCGAAATAATATTACTGCAATATCGCCTGGAATCCATGAAAAGGATATTCGCGTGTAATCATGTTAATTGTAAAATGAATGGATATGCATTTGTAAAAATTTTTTTTTTAAAAATTGAGAGCCCCTGGTGGAGATAGCAGCTATCTCGTGTGTCACCTTATATCAATGTGACTCGAAAATATATGCTGCTTGTGTACTACGGTCGTATTCCTCTACCAATTGTCTAGAGTGTTGTGTGTGTATGAAAGAGTTGCAACACACAAACGCCAGACATGGATCCATTGAAGAGGTTTGAAGAGGCCAAGCTGCGCGGACTGAATAAGGACGAGTACTTTCATCTTATGGAGATGGAGGTGAAACTCCTGGAGATGAGAAAACAAGAGGTGATGTGAAATACGGTGTGTGTGTGTGTGTGTGACAGACACTGAGTGCTGTGTAAATGTGGTGTGTGTGTGTGGTAGGTACTGAATGGTGTCAATTTGATGTGTGTGAAAGGGATTGAATGACATAAATGTGGTGTGTTTGATAGGTACTGCATGTGTATAAAAGTGGTGCGTGTGATAGGCAATGAATAGTGCAAATATGGTGTATATTATATTCACTGAATAGTGTAATGGGGTCTGTGAGTGAGGGAGAGAAAGAGAGAGAGAGAGAGAGAGAGAGAGAGAGAGAGAGAGAGAGAGAGAGAGAGAGAGAGAGAGAGAGAGAGAGAGAGAGAGAGAGAGAGAGAAAGAGAGAGAGAGAGAGAGAGAGAGAGAGAGAGAGAGAGAGAGAGAGAGAGAGAGGATGATATGGAAACAAAGTGTGTGTATGGAAAGGAGTGGGAGCAACACAATTAAATTGCTCATGACAGAGGCGTGAATATTAGAAAGAGGGAAGGAGGGAGAGTAAGATAGTGATGATGGTGAAGATAGGGTGTAAAAAATGTATTTTATCTCATGAGATATACACAAAGGGAACGATAACGTTATAGATTTTCCAATTTATTAATGTAATCTTTCCAAAGCCTTTCAAAATCAAGGCTATCACATTGACAAATATGATAAGCATAGTCAACAAACTAAATGGTTAGCCAACACACTGAAAGTTTAGTCAACACACTACATGTTTAGTCAACACGCTAAATGTTTAGCCAACACGCTAAATGTTTAGCCAACACACTACATGTATAGCCAACACACTACATGTATAGCCAACACACTACATGTATAGCCAACACACTACATGTTTTGTCAAAATAATGTTTAATTTGTGATATCCCCCCCCCCCTTTTTGGACTGTACAGGTGTCAGCAGCATCAGTTGGTAGAGCAGGACAGTCTGAAGCTGGTCAGTTTGGATATTTTTTTTTTTACCTTTTCTTTTCCTTAAACAAATTACCCTAAAGGAAGATGCTTTTTACATGTATAGCCAACACACTACAGGTTTTGTCAAAATAATGTTTAATTTGGGATATCCCCCCCCCCTTTTTGGACTGTACAGGTGTCAGCAGCATCAGTTGGTAGAGCAGGACAGTCTGAAGCTGGTCAGTTTGGATATTTTTTTTTTTTACCTTATCTATTCCATAAACAAATTACCCTAAAGGAAGATGCTTTTAATCTCTCCCTGTCATTAAATGTACATTGAATTACTTGAATTATGAGACAATTTAAAACGCAAACGATTGGTAATGGAATTCAGTTGTTCTTTTTTCGTTGTTGTTGTATATCAAAAGCACAGACTAACATAATGATATAGGCACCTGATAAAGGTCAATAGACAAGTCGTCCTATTGAGGGGAGTGTTCATTAAATGGAATATGTTGTACGGGAAAGCTAAATTGTTCAAATAATTGATGTTTCGAAATGTTTGGGAAGATGTCTATAACGCAATTATGTTACATCAAGGGTAATTCCCCCCCTCTCACCCCCCCCCCCCCCCGAAACCCAACTCAAAAGGCAACAACATCGAAGAATAATTTGTATTCATTGAAATACATTTAGTTTTGCGTGTATAATAAATACAAACTTTGGGGTAAGTTCCAAGGTAATAGGACCAACACCAATGTGTGTCAGTGGCCTGTGCTTTACTTCTGCAAATTTTAAAATGTTGTACACTGGAGAGGGTGAACATTTTATTGACAGGGTGGACATTTTTGCTCCATAGATCTTTCTTACGATTGGTTTGTTCATCTTTCTATGTATATGACGCCATAACCCGCTATGACAATTACAGTAACTGTTAACCACGATTATGGCATATCTCTCCCGTCAGATCTCCAACAGATGCTTCGTGACATGCACCACCAGCAGGTCCGCCAGCACGAGAAGGTGTGCCGCGGCATCAAGCTCATCCTGGAGCAGCTCCACCAGCAGCAGCAGGATCACCAGGACCAGCGGCACAATGTGGGCACGCAGATCTCCGAAATTTACCGAAACGTTGACGGCAAGCTCGAGTCGTCCGTCCAGCAAATGAAAGAGGAGCTCCGGGAGCTGCGTGCTGAGGTTCTGAACAAAGTTGAAGGTGGCAGGGGTTATTTGAGGGACACCCTCACGGGGGTCAAGGGGGTGAAAGCGAGTGTGTTCGGCAAGATCGGGGAAGTAACCAACAGCATCAAAGGTAATTTTCACGATGTCCGGAAAGACATTTTTAGTAGAGTTACATCCCTTGAGGGGGATTTTTTAAATTTTGAGAATGGTGGAGGGAGAGAACCGTTGCCTAAACCAAATGAACTCACGACGCGAATTCAAAGGGATCCTGCTCGGGAAAAGTCAACAAGCGTAGCACAGTTCGAACAGTCAGACGAGTTTACCAGCAACGAAAGCGTAGAGGGAAAAGACAGTTTCGGTGATACTGAAAATGAGGCATCCCAAAAATTACATGATGATTTTGAACGCAAAGAAAGTGTGCAGGATACAGAACACGTAAATTTGAGGTCAGATCATGAACAATCGGACGATGTCCACCACGAACATTCAATTCCTAACCAGACGAGTGAGCCGCTGTATGCTTCTAGTGCTCTTGAGCACCAGAGCGGAGTCTGTTCACAGCAAGCCGACTCGACACTACAGAGATTACGATCAGAAGCCATGTCGGTTGAAGAACAAATCGAGACCACATCACGACACATTGATGACCAGCCAAACGAAACAACGGATTCACTTTTACAAACTTCACACTTACTACTACAAGCTGTGGACGGAGTACGCAATTTTAACGACGAACTTCCTCAGTTGGACTCGTTTCCCGAGAGCCACGTGGATCAAAATATTCAAACTGATAGCGATGACAGGAAATCACTAACAAGTAGACTGATACAAGAAGTGCCGGGACCACGTACGGCGTCACTGCAGGAAAACACGTCACTTCTGCAGGATAAGTCACGACCGCATGAAATGCCACTTCCTACGTCCTCGCCACAGGATGCGTTACCGTCTTCGAATACTTCACAGCCGCATGACAAGTCACCGAATCTAAACACGCCACCACAACAAGACGCACCACAACTTTCAGGCAGCACGTCGCCACAGGGCTCGTCACAACAACGGGAGGCGTCACTGCGACCTCCTAGAGATCAAGATGATCCGAAGACGAGTTTCGAACAGCAATTGGAAGTTCTGGAACGGCTCTTCTATGTGGTAACCCAGCAATCGCACCAGCTGTTCCTGGACACGGTGGAGGACAAAATGGAGCAGACCCTCAACGTGATCGTCGCGCTGGTGACCGGGGTCAAGCACGAGATTTGTGACGTCACGGAGAAAGAGATGCAGCTGGTCAGGGACAGACTGACCAGCGGGCCTCGTCCTGGAAAACATTACGTTTGCGATTTCTACGTCAAGAACGTCCGAAACATGGTCTACCGCGAGGACAGTCAGATGAGTCTTCCTTGGCACATCCATCAGATGAGGTCGTGCGTCAAAGGTTACGTTGAGGTCACCGGAAACGGGGACATGTACGTGGCCTTGATGTACGGCCGCCACCCGTCGGCCCTGGGGCTGGCCCCACGCGCGGGGATCAAGCTCAAGGTGAAGGCCACCGTGAAAGACACAACGGGGACCCTGCCGGACGTAGTGGTGGGGGAAGCCACCTGGAACTGCAACGAGGCCGGGGTCAAGGACAACAGGGCGTGGGGTAAAAAGATCGGGGTCCTGTCCTGCGTGAGTTTGGTCAACCAGGGTTACGGAGAGAAGGAGGGCTACGCCTATGGTTCTATGCTAATCAGATACGAGATCACTGTCCTCAAGGAATGACTTACCGGATTCAAAGACCAGTAATTCGTGCATTAACGAATGTCCCTCCCCTATTTTCTTTTCCCACTTGTATTTCGTCTGTTGTTAGAGACGGTCTTTTCAGACACGCCCATATGGCATTTTTTGTTTTTTTGTTGATAATTACGTTTCACGGTTATTGTTCACATATGCATTTTTTTGTATTTTAATTAGAGAACTGACTAGTAAAGTAGCAGGGAAAGTTAATTGATTTTTTTAAAAATGATAAACTTATTCAAATATGAAATAAGTATCAATTTCTACAAAGCAAAGGTCTGCTAAATATTTTTTTTTTAACTGCTCGGACCACCCTACATATTTACAATGAGTCCGCATCACAGCACCGGTATAAACACGCAAAAAGAAAAGTAAAAAAATAATGGAGGTCAGAGAGCATACGTAAAATTGAAAGTAAGGATAATAAATGAAGGACGGCGTTCAAGCTGTGTGAAGGTGATAGTAGATCAAGGCATGGGGAAGCTCGAATATATAAAGACAGGACAGTGCACTGAAAGAAAAATAAAGGCGAAGGAGATGAGATGTTTCAGAAGCATTCTTCTAATCTGCTATAGAGACCAGATCTCTAACGAACAATTGAAAGAAAGGATTCGTCAAGCAATCGGACAGTATGATGACCTCCTGGTGACTGTAAAAAAAGCGCAAACTGGAATGTTATGGCCACGTGACAAGAAAACAAGGGCTCGCCACAGAAATCATGCAGGGCACAACGAGAGGAGGGAGAAGAAGAGGAAGACGAGAAAAAGATGGGAAGGTAAAATCAAAGAGTGGACGTGTCTAAAACTGGGCGTTGCTGTGCGAAGTGCAGAAAACAGAGACGAATGGAGGAGGATTGTTCACATGTCATCTGTGGCGCCCCAACGGTCCAAGGACTAAGGGGCATGATGATGATGATGTGCACTGCGCACCATCATAATATCGCGGCACGACAGTGTGCCGCCTCACACCGGTGCGGAGCTCTGCGCTAAAGTAATATTTTTTCTTCTGCATGATAAGAGAATACATGTCGAACGCTCAGACTGTTGGGGGGGGGGGATCTATTATTTAAGCCCCACGTGCAATGTCTGTTTATTTTAACCCCACCATAGCTTGCAGCGGTATCGTAATTGTTGTGGAAAACATTCATGTTTTCTATAAGAACAAGAAGAAAACTATTCTCTCTCCCCCCTTATTATGTGTTAACTCGAGCATTAAGGGGGGAAAACAATTGTTTTAACTATTTTACAAAAAAATTTTGTTTTTACAAATCTTGATTATTGTGGAAAAAGTTATTCAGGGAAAATAAATTTCAAATATCGAAAAAAAAATTTTTAAATTGAATTTAAAAAAAGGGGGGTTCATTTTGCAGACCAAAGCTATATTCAATGTGCAGTGAATTATTCAGCCTCATTTCACCCCCGCCCTCCACCCCCCCCCCCACATACGACACAAAAAATTACAAAAACATATTGCTTTGATTTAAAACAAACCAAACATTTGTTTTAATAAATTTAACATTAAAAAAAAAAATCAATATTATGTTACGTATTTATTTTTAAAAAATGACAAATGATGTTATTGTTTTTTTTTATATATATTTTTACATTTTTTGTTGTTGATGTTATAAGAAGAAAACTTGCACATCAACTGTCAACTGTTGCATGTAATTATAATAGAATTTAAAACCACAATTATCTTTTCAATAAGATATAAATCATCCAAATTAAAAAAAAGTTTGTTCTTTCTTGACAACTGCATTAAAGCATCTGACAAATTAGTTACAAACAGAAGAAGAATTAACAAATAAAAAAAAAAAGAAAGATTGATGTTGACCTGATCTCTCCACTATGATTTAAAAAGCATCTTTTTAAATTTACTTCACATTTTGTAAGATGACAAGATAAATGCGCCACATTGAATTTATTCATTCAGATCTCATGCGCCACATTGAATTCATTCAAACATTTTGATTTAATACCAAATATTTCAAACTCATTCTCCAGCCTTCCACTGTGCAACCTAATTCAAACCCAAAGACTTTATTATCTCTTTCATTTTCAATTTAATTCACTGTCAAACATTAGTTTCAATAAAATGTTATCTTTTTTTTAAAACGCTAAATTTTATGTTGTTACTAAAAGGCTATGAACGGGGAAATTTAAATTAGTTCACATTGTGACACACACACCACCACACACACACACACACACACACACACACGCGCTGATAGAGCTGACAATCAAACATAGCCCAGCAGATGACTTGTCAGATTTTTATCTTGGGTAGACAGTGAACCAGAGTCACATAGTTTTGATAGGATTAATAAAATCGCGGCTATCAACGTGTTGAACACGCCAGCCGGAACATAGATACTAACAATCGATGACATATTTACCATGGGCAGTGCACCGTATCACTGGTTGAGAATCTATCTAGGGCAAAGCTACAATTAATTAGCCAACATATATATATATAAAAGCGTATATATTTTATAATAGATCTGATACAATCAATGAATAAGTTATCTATTTTTTTAATTTTTTTTTTTGCTTTAATATTTTTATTTTAATCAAATAATTATTTTTAAAAATTCTATAAACATATCAGTCTTTCTCTTTTATTTACATCAATATTATCAATGATGTGTTTTAATCTTTACATTTATTTTCTCTTTGTTTGAAATTTTTTTTTTCAATTCTGCACCTTTTTTTAGGGGGCGGGGGTTGGGCTATACATACAATTTAAAATAACACAACTTATAATCAATTTTATAACGAGATTAAAAATAAAAAGTTATAAGTATAAAACTATGGTAATAACTTATCAGTGGATAGATTTTTTTTTTTTGCTTTTCTTTTTAATGAACCCTTCCGAAAAAAATTCATCATCATCATGTCCCATAGTCCTTGGACAGTTGGGGCGCCACAGATGACCTGAGAACCATCCTCCTCCATTGGTCTCTGTCTTCTGCACAATGCACTGCATCGCCCAGTGTTAGTCCTGTCCACTCTTTGATGTCATCCTCCCAAATTTTTCTTTGTCTTCCTCTTCTTCTCCCTCCTCTTGTAGTACCCTGCAATATGTCTTTGGCAAGACCTTGTTTCCTTGTTACGTGGCCGTACCATTGTAGTTTGCGTTTTTTCAGTCACCAGTAGGTTATCGTACTCCCCAATTGCCTGACGAACCCTTTCCTTCACTGTATCATTGGAGATATGGTCCTTATAGCAGATGCCAAAAATGCTTCTGAAGCATCTCATCTCCATCGCCTTTTTTTTCCTTTCAAGATCGGCTGTTAATGTCCAGGACTCGCAGGCATACAGGAAATTGGAGAGACTAATGAGCGCATCAAAACTGATGACAAATAACACCACAGGCATCACCACTGAAATTAAGGTCGGGGAGGAAAGACTAGAGGCTGTAGGCCGCTTCGAATACCTAGGAGCAATAGTCTCAGAAGTAGGTTCTAAGCCCGAACTGATGTCGAGGATTGCGCAGAATACAACAGCACTAAAACGGCTCAAGAAAATATGGAATGACAAAAATATAGGCCCCAGCACCAAAATCAGGCTGATGCGCTCATTAGTCCTCTCCGAAAAAAAATTACAAAATAGTAAATAATACTTATTTATACATTGATATATTGACAATCCAATCACAGTCACATAAATATTTATTCATTTTAAATTTAAAAAAAAAAACGCATTAATTTTGGCGTGATGTAACATTAAATCAATAGCGCCATCTTATTAATACTTGTATTGCATTGTCAGGATTTAGTTACTGCTCAGGTGCAATTGAGAACTAAAGATGGAGATAGATTTGCTTCAGGAAGAGCAACATGCCCATTCTCAAAGCTGACATCGGCTTTATATCTCAATGTTTTCTGGGTAAGACATGGAACTATTATAAAGACGGAATGAAGCCAGCGATCGACATCTTTATCCTATTGGTGGTGCACCCTTAGGCTACTTGATGTTCTCATTAACTATAATGAAACCCACCCCCCCCCCACATCCAAGGTAAATGCTTGCTGTGTTTGGGGTACCCCCCCCCACCTCAATACCGAGTTAAGCTGGGGGGGGGGTAGGGAAGGCGAGGGCCGGAATTTTATACAACACGTTCGATTTCATGGTTATTACGCAATTGATTAAAAACAATACGATTTTTAGAGTCTGGTTATTTCTAGAAAAAATACAATAAAAATAAACTTAACTTCAAGGCACGCATTACACAAGAGATCATGACATCGTTATTGTGGGGGACTGGTGTGAGGAGGCCCTGGGCGGTGGGATGGAGGAGTGAGGAGACCCTGGGCGGTGGGATGGAGGAGTGAGGAGGCCCTGGGCGGTGGGATGGAGGAGTGAGGAGGCCCTGGGCGGTGGGATGGAGGAGTGAGGAGGCCCTGGGCGGTGGGATGGAGGAGTGAGGAGGCCCTGGGCGGTGGGATGGAGGAGTGAGGAGGCCCTGGGCGGTGGGATGGAGGAGTGAGGAGGCCCTGGGCGGTGGGATGGAGGAGTGAGGAGGCCCTGGGCGGTGGGATGGAGGAGTGAGGAGGCCCTGGGCGGTGGGATGGAGGAGTGAGGAGGCCCTGGGCGGTGGGATGGAGGAGTGAGGAGGCCCTGGGCGGTGGGATGGAGGAGTGAGGAGACCCTGGGGGGTGGGATGGAGGAGTGAAGAGACCCTGGGCGGTTGGGATGGAGGAGTGAGGAGACCCTGGGCGGTGGGATGGAGGAGTGAGGAGGCCCTGGGTGGTGGGATGGAGGAGTGAAGAGACCCTGGGCGGTGGGATGAGGAGTGAGGAGGCCCGGGGCGGTGGGATGGAGGAGTGAGGAGGCCCTGGTCGGTGGGATGGAGGAGTGAGGCTCCTCTTTCTCGAAATTCTCAGCATAGCAGAATGCGTTTTCAAATCTTAGAAGTCCGGTCGCTAAACGACACCCCCTCCCCCCTCCCCTTGCATGAAAAACCTGTGCACCCTTAAGTTAATTCATTAAACAATAATGAACAGGTTATTCTTACGGTGATACTGTTACACGTGTCAATGTTATTCAGATGGAATTATTCCATTTTCGCCCGTATACTTCAAAAGTACAATTGCACCTCTTCTTTAAAACGCGTACTTCTCCTTATGTCCTTCTATTCTCGTACGTCTCCTTATGTCCTTCTATTCTCGTACTTCTCCTTATGTCCTTCTATTCTCGTACTTCTCCTTATGTCCTTCTATTCTCGTACTTCTCCTTATGTCCTTCTATTCTCGTACTTCTCCTTATGTCCTTCTATTCTCGTACTTCTCCTTATGTCCTTCTATTCTCGTACTTCTCCTTATGTCCTTCTATTCTCGTACTTCTCCTTATGTCCTTCTATTCTCGTACTTCTCCTTATGTCCTTCTATTCTCGTACTTCTCCTTATGTCCTTCTATTCTCGTACTTCTCCTTATGTCCTTCTATTCTCGTACTTCTCCTTATGTCCTTCTATTCTCGTACTTCTCCTTATGTCCTTCTATTCTCGTACTTCTCCTTATGTCCTTCTATTCTCGTACTTCTCCTTATGTCCTTCTATTCTCGTACTTCTCCTTGTATTCCTTCTTGTATAGGTGTAGTTGTTTGTGTATCGCTGTATCCTTGTACTTCCCCTTGTATCCTTGTATCTCGTCTTTATTTTTATACTTCTTGTATCCTTTTCTAAGAAAAATAATTGCGCGAAATTCGTAGCAAGTACATTATTCTTAATTTGAGAGCTTTGCAGTTTCATTTAGCTCACATTTAGTTTCGCACCAATCGCTGGTCAGCTTTCTATTATTATGATTTATTGATTGACCGTAAAATGTACACAAATGATATAGTGGTTTCTATGCAGGCACTTTTCATTTCTCTCCATTGGGTGGATCACGTGATAGAAAATGAGAAGATCATTATTTATTTTAAACACCTTGACCCGGTTTCGTTTTTCTAAATTTTTTATTTGCAGTGTCCGGAAGTGTTCCGGATGTGCTGCTATTCAATATTTCCGGGTAACCTGGTCAGTAACTTGGCTCAGCAGCACTTCTTGTTTTTCCTTTGGATACCCTCTTGTATTCTCACGCATCCGAAACGGACATGTCATACGTAGTATGTACCGGTACAAATTAATCTCCCGAAGACAAAAAAAAAAAAGGCTAGACACGGTGCACCAAGCCTCAGTTAAAGTCATAGCGTCTAGGGGTATCTTACGTTATCACACGCTTCTTAAAGCCGTCTTAGAAGTCTTAAACATAATGAGAACCGTGTTGTCCGTCCAACCCCTCTGTGCACAACGTACCTCTTGGCACTCTGGATTAGACTCAACTCCTTCAACTCAACAAACCGACTCTAGTCTTTTTCAGTGGGACGTGACAGCCCTTGATCCAAGTCGGGCATTTGTTTTATTTGAACCTCGAGATCACTGGTGCCCGCTGACGACAGGCCTCATATCTTACCAGTGCCTTGAGACAAGCACG